AAAAAGATCTGAGCGGGGAGCTGGGCAGCTGTAACGGAATCAGCTGCCCCATCTTCCAAGTAGAGTCACGCTACCAGCCTCACAGGCTGTCCTAAGACTCTGCTGAGTCACCGCAAACCGAATTCCGAAGTTCACCTTCTGCCAACAGCCACAAACCTTAACTGCATCACAAACCCACTGATGGTACCGGCAGTTGTCAACCGATTTCTTAAACAGCGTAAAAAACAATTCCCATGCTACCAGCCCGCACGCGGAATAAAGTGAAAGAGCTTGCAAATAAAACCATTTCCGCCCACACAAACAGATTACCACTCTACTGTATTTACAGAGTGCTGCTCCAGCAAATAACAAGCTGTTTCCTCCTCCCCCGTGTTTATATCCGAGTCCTTACAGTTATCAGGAAAGGTGGGGATACAGCAAATACATCATAGTCACAGACTCTGCATCAAGCGGTTTAGCATACAGCAGTCAGGGCATGCAGCTCTCAGCTCATAAAACGAAACAGCTCTCTGCAAGACTACTCATACAACAAGACAAGCTTACATTGTGCTGCAGGAGTTTGTAAGCTGCGTATAACAAACAGAATGAAAAGTATTAACTTAAGAGGAAGTTATTTATTTGACTGCAGAAATTCCTCTGAGGCTTTTAAAGGAGTTACCTTTGGTCTCTCCAGCACGCACGTCCAGTATTTTAGGATCTTAAGCTGCCACCTTGATTTTATTTTATAAATCAAATTAAAAAAAACCATCATACATATTTGATGAACCTAGGCCCATCAGAAGGAAGGGCATTTTACAAGTGCAAGGAACACTTCAGGACCTCAACACTGTAAGTTCTCAGAGAGCAAACAAGTGACGGAGCTATCTTACCGATTTCTATGGAATGGGCGACCTATACTCAAAGCAGCAGCATTTGTTTTATACGATCCTGGTGTATTAAAGCCATTCACGAATCCACCATTAGGAAAGGGGGCCTGCAACAGACACAACAGTCTCAATGGCTGAATTAAAAACGTTTGCAGTTTTATGAGGTCAGCTTTGGCAGTTATTCATCTCGTCTGTTTGCACTTTTACGCTGGGCTACAGTATCCGGTATGTTGTGAACTTACTGCTAACGTGAAACCCCCCCAGGCTAACAGCCTGCACCTCTGCCTTAGCACCAGAGTCCTCCTGTTGCTGGAAGAGCTACAAAGCTCTAGGTACTGGTTATTGGAACTTCACACCAAAATTCCTTGAAATAAACAGCAGCCGAAGGGGAGAGACAGCCTCTCCAACAGTCTTGCTTTATCAGGTCTGCAACATAACATGAACTATCATAAAACAGAGGGACCCGACTAGAAAACCTGTGTGCTCTACAGCTGAGAAACCCACTGACCCTATTGATTTATTAAACAAATGATCACCGACGTTTTTTGGGCTACCTCCCCTCCTTTTCATCAGCTGGTACGTACCAGTGGTGTTTCAAAGTAAGGTGCAGGATTTGGAGACCACGTCTGAGGCACGATGCTGTAAATAGAGTACTGCTGGGGACTATATACAGGCTGCATGAACAGTGGCGAGGCAAACTGTGCTTGGGTCTGAACTGGCTGAGTATAGACACTGGAATCCACTACCCGGTAACCATTCTTAGCAAAAAATGTGTTGATGGCTTTTATCCTTGCCTGCGAGATACCAAATCACATCACACACATTAGTTGGGAGGAAAGGAGAAACATGAAAATGTTCTTGTCTACCAAAATGATAACAAGGGATGTGAAGAGGAAGTAGGTTGATTACTGCTTACAAATAAAAACTCAGATAAAAATCAACACAGATTACGTTCTTAAAGTGTGCTAAAGTGAAAGGCACACTGCTTTAGCTAGATAATCTGTCAGGTTTAAGATAAACGCTGCTTTCTATAGCAGTCATCATCCAGACCCCAAATTCTGACAGTTCCTCTCACAGCACAAAGTTTGCTTCAGCCGTATTTGCAGAGCAGAGAACTCCAGCTAGAGACTCATGATGGCAAGCGCCCATCTCCTGAGTTTGCAGACCCAGATTCTGGGGAAACTGGAGAAGCAAAGACGAATCAGGAATGTATTTCACACCTCCTGGGAAGCAGCAGCCACTGAACTGTAATTTTTCAAAGGTACCCGTGACCTCATTCAAGGTAACAGCCTACAGAGCAAGTGTTCTGAACTATCCCACCGCTAATTCCTCGGCTGTCCCCTCCCCGCCATAAACGCACGCTATCGTTCAAACAGAAACAATTTAGAAATCCAAGCAGGAACTCTTACCATTACTGGCTTGCCCTGAAAGGTTTTCACTTCTTCCCTTAAGTATTTAAACGCCTACAGATACAAAAAAAAATGAACATTAGAATATCTTGATGCAATTGTAACTCTCAAAGGCTATGACATGACTTAACATGAACGTGCAGCAATGTGCTTCCCCGTTAGCCCAGATAAATTCATTAACACTTCAAACTCAGGATACGCCAGGCAGTCACAGCCAGAGAGTACTGAGGCAAGAGGCTGACAAAGGAATTCTGACCCTACAATCTCTCTGCTTCCTTTCTCTATTAACTAGAATTTACCAGTAACAAAAGGGGGATCAGTAAATAAACGTTTCTTTTAACTGCAGGAAGCGTGGGTGCGATTCTCTGGAGCAGGGGAAGTTTTAATAACAAAACTGAGACGTCATTAACAGCTGCAGCCTTACCTGTTGCGCATCCGTATCCGACTGGAATGTAACGTACCAGTTGTTGTTGTGAGCAAACTCACAGCTTATCACTTTGGGGCAGTTCTCATTTTTAAACAGAGCCTTCACCTCCTAGGAGAGAGGAGAAGTCAGGCAGTCAAGGGGCCCGAGCTCCAAGCTGTAAATCGGACACTATACCAACAAGAGTTCACACTCCAGCTCCTCAGCAGCAATTCTCCTTTGAGCAGGGATGTTCTTTTATTCCCTTGACAGGTCTGTCCAACACCAAGTTATCCTCTACCTGTTTCTGAACCCCAGAATACCAGCCCAGCCTACTTGAGCCCCCCAAATAAAAAGCAGCAGGCCCAGCTGGTAAGAAAATCAAGATCAGCATAGAACTGGTGACATTTCTATACGAAAGAGGTAACAAAAACACGGCTTTAGATCAGGAGAGTCATCATCATCATTTTAAAAAAAAATATTTCTAAATCAAGGCAACCTGACAGCTTTGCAATAATCAGATTTTAAAGAGAGAGCAAAGCAGCTGTTCAGCATTTGCATTAAAACAACTAATTAAAAATGCTCGTAGACAAACACCCTGTGTTACGATGTTAAAAAGCAAAGAACTAAATCACTCTGTTAGCCAAGTATCAGTAGGAATTTTATTATCCTCCCTTCTCTGAACATAATGAGCTCAGCTCACACTGGGTCACAATGAATGAGAAATGTTCAGTAATATTTCTTGCTGCCAAAACAACAGTCTGACTTCAAGTAAAGTTACCGCTGTGACAAAAATTCAGCCTGAATTCCAAGCTATGCCCTGGACTGATTTTACTTTTGGATCTGAAAAGAGACCAGTTCAAGCTTCTTTATAGAAAAGCCCAGCTAGCTCAATCTTTGGTAGGAAAAAAAGTTTACTTAAGAGCATTTTAATATATTAGTAAACCATGGGAAGGGACCACAATGACAACAAGATTTTGCTTTGGATTTTTTTGACAACACATCCAGAGAGAAAAAACTCCTTATGTAGTTTACAAGGAGAGTATCAGTGTTCAATCAGATTGAATACCAGTTGACCTTTTAAGCAATGCTTCCCGTTGCTGTTTGAAGCATTGTTGAAGATACCTTCCAAAAACATCAACAGGCTTTGGTGTCTTGCCTTTCTGTTTATTTACCTCTATAGGTGTTGTTTCAGGGATCTCACGGAGAATGATAATACATCGTTTGTGGTTTGGTCTTACTTTCTCCCCTCTCTCATCCACTTGTACCATAGGAGAAGCTAAAAATTAAAACACAAAAGTTGGCTTAATATTGGACATTGTGCCATGCAAAACATCTCCATTATCCAGCTTGCAACAAAAGAGCTGTGATGGACTGCTTAAGAAACCAGAGTTCTTGAATCGAGGGTAAATGACAGCTCCCGTCACCCTTTACCAGAACAATGAGCCACAACCAGCTAAGAGACTAAAACATTTCTCTAGAGCGAGGAAGGATTCTTTGTTCTGCTAACACAGACACCAAACGTTCAGACTTACATCTCAAAACTTCAAGAATAAGGTCCATATCCGCCGTCAGCTTCTTAATACCTTCCATGTTGGCAATTGTCCATATCGGAACAAACTGATCACTGTCCATTTGAGACATCAAGTAAAGATCCTTTGAAAGATTCTCACTAAAAAGACATAAGTTCACTATTTTATAAAAATCCTGAACTTTGTTTACAGAAGCCTCAAAACAACAGGATAACTGCAGGCTTAAATATTCACCAACACCATTCACAGCTAACTCTAGCCAAAATGTACTCAGATTTTCTTTCCTGGCAAAAATCCTGGCAGATCAACACAAAGCAAAAGATAATTTAAAATCTCAACATCTTACAGCCATGAAGCATGGAGGTCACACTCAGCTCTCAGTAAAGGACAAGGACACATGGACAGGAGTGAAATGGCTGAAAGGTGCCACAGGTTTTCTACAGCGCTTGAGCAAATCGTGGTTCATATCGCAACCAACTCTCACTCACAGTTAACATTTTTATGAAGATGACAGCACATATCAAGCCAAAAAAAGGGAAACGTATGTCAACCAATTTTCTAAAGGGTTTACACAAAGTTGAATTAACTGTACCGTACCGTGAGAAGCAGAATTCAAGTTGTTTTTTCAAACATTCTCTGATGTCTTCTGTCGACACAGTGGAGCTGCCTTCACCTAAAAGTCACCACACACACCATCAGATCTCAGTTTCACGGTAAGAATATAAAGCAAGAAGACATTTCATTGAACAACAAAAGAATGAATCCTTCTGGGTAAAACCAAGACAAAAAGGTCATGGGACACGCCCGAGGACCACCACACTACACACTCCCAAAACCACTCCGATCCCAGTTTTCACCTGTCTGGCCAAGTGCTAGGGCTGCCTTAGAACACGCATTGGATGGAACATCCCAAAGTTCCTACCCAGGATTTACAAGTCACATCACAACTGCAGCAGACTTCAGAGGACTACGGACACCGTCAGGGGTATTCTAACTTGACCACTCACCAGACACTTCATAGATTTGGTATCCAAGATCTTCAGTTGCTAGGACAATTCCGTTTGCAGATGCTTCGTCAACTCCTGTGCCATTTCTTGGGGCTTCACAAGACGGGGAATACATCACTTCATACTGCTTGCAGCTATCCTCTGAAATCTCTATGTTACCTGGCAAATAAACACACCATCAGCAGAAAACCTACCGTAAGCTTCAGAAGATTTTCCATTTGAAAAATTTTGGCTACCAACATTAAATCAAATACTCAAGAATCCCAAAAAGTGGCAGAGGATCTGAACCGAAGTAGCTAACCACAGTTGCTCTGCAGTCTCTACTCCAGGACAAACTCTCCTGTCTAACAGCTCAGGATCGTAGGTGGCCCTCAGACCTTATCTTCCCGTTCACAGGGTCAAGGGGACACTAAAGTGCAGCAATGGCGAACACAAGTCGTGAATCCATTTCTACACATTTAGCACCTTGTTTCCCTCTTAGCGCGTTACTCAGTCATCACCAGGCCCCTTGGATCCTCTCGCCTGCTGAAGCGTTCCGCCCCAGCACAACTCTGGACACCTTCTCGAATCCCTAGACCAAAGCTCACTGCTCAGACCCATCATCTCCATAAACCATCGACTGCTTTCTCACGTTCATTTCATACTTGTTGCTACATCAGCACTAACAACACCGAAGGCACAAGCAAGAAGTTGCTCCTCGCTGCTGAACTCTTACAGAGGACCCTCAGCACTACCCAGCAAGGGACGTATCACCGCTAGCGCCTGAACGTGGGCCCGCGACGTCTCACCCTCGGTGTGAGTCCCTTGTGCAGCCGCTGTTTCTTGCCACGAGTGCTCTGTGCCATTTGCTGGTGGCACCGCCTCACCGCTCCCTTGGGGTACTTCTTGCCACACTTTTGCATTCGGGTTTAAGCCAGCACCTTTCGATGTTACCTGCTGAAGAGACCAGAACACTTTTATTAGGAAAAATAACCCAAAGATGCTTTAGAAGCCAAGGCAGACAATTCAGGTGAATTTAGTATTTTCTATAGAGTTCCACATCTCGAGTGTCTAACCAGCTATTAAGCACCTATGTGATTTCTCATTAATCAAAACAGGAAAATCCTTAGTATTTTCCAAGTATTTCATTTCTACCTCCATTAGAAGTGTTGCCTTCAACCTCTCTTTATTGACATCCGACAACATCAGCAGACGAAGCGGCTAGCCATCAAGGACTCTGGTAACTCATAAGCTTTTAAAGACTTGACTGTCATAATGCTCCAGTCCCCCTTCACCAGAAAGGGAAATTTTCCCTCCTCCAGACCCCTTCCTAGAAAGGAAGGTAAAAAAACATATTTCAAGGAAAAGAAACTAAAGACTTACGGAATTAGTGACATCTATACTAACCCAGCATCACCTATGCTACACCACGATTCCTTGTGAACTTACCTGAGTAAAGCCGTGGAATGGCCCCTTCCCAGGAGCTGCTCAGAAGCTCCAGGACATTTGGGTACGGAGCCCCATCACCCACATCAGCACAGACAATAAACACCGTCACAGCTCTCACTCTGCTGGGACAGAACTAACTCCTTCCACACAGACAAGAAAACTACGCTTTGGCAAAAATTCTCTTTCCAAGAATTCCCAACACCCGACAAGCAACTAATAGTTTCCCCCAAACAGCCACTAGTCCTAGCTCCTATCTCCCAAATTCACAAATAAGGAAGTTTGCTACTTCAGAGGCCAGGCTCTTGGATTCTGAAATGAAGGAGTGGCTCACCAACAGGCCTCAAACATAAAGCAAAAGGATAAGGAAGCAGTTGCAATAGCTTTAGAGATAATTCCCCTGCCAAGGTCACACCTAGTTCCACAGCTATTTGCTACAAGGACAAGCCCAAATTCGGTAACAAAAAGCCTCCAAACACAGGAGAGGTTCAAGACAATCACAAGAGAAGGCAAAACAAACATCACAATTTTTGCAAGGCCCTCTGAGATTCCAAATCCCCCGCGCACACCTGATTTAATCCGCACAGTAACGGAGGTTTTCGCCCCCTCGTCAATCTTAGCAGAAGAATACAGCTGGAAACAGAAAGAAGAACTAGAAATAATTCAGTGTGAAAGGACATGCACATTTCCCTTCTTCATTTTCAGAGTAGCTGTTCTCCAACCAAACAACCTTAGAGGAAAAACCCTGTAACCTGCTGCCCCCCCGTACTCTCGATGCATTTCAAAACGTAACTCGGCTCAGCGGCTGGTCACCCCTGTGCCACAGCAAACCCGCCAGCGCGGGCACCTGCTCAGGAACCGAACACCAGCAGATCCCATTTCCCTGCATTTACTTTTCATCAAAGCAAAAAAGACGAGACACATCCAGGAGATGATTCATTTATTTTATAAAAATAAACACTGACGTCTTTGAGGTTAGCACTTAGCTCAAGCTGAAAGTGACTGGAAGGAATAAGTACGACAAAGTGAAACTGAAAGGCTTTGGGGAGATTACTGCACTTCTGGAAGTGCCCAGCAGTAAAAAGCAGCTCTGAGTACCGCAGAGGATGCTACTCACTGTAGCAAACACCCAAAGACACGTGGTAACATGGAAGTTCACAAATCACAGGTCCAAGAGAAAAGTGCTACAGAAACTGAACAGATTCAGGCTGATAAAGCGATGAATGGACCTATTAATACAGGGGCTGAAATACACACCTGAAAGAGCGTGGGCTACTTCCTCTTTGTTCTAGAAACACTTAATGACATGTAATGCCACTCCACAAGAGCCAGCCCTGACGTCACGCATCTTAATAGCGAGACACCATGGACTCCAGGAGGATAAAAAGTCCCTAATTTACATAAGCTTTCTGAAAAGACAGTGTGCTGTGCTCCAGGAGCAGCGTCACTCCATCCTGGCAAGCGGCTCTTCTGAAGAGAGGGCCAAAATATCAATTCTGGCTTATTTAACTGAGGCTAACAAACACCGAGCCCGTTTGATTGGCTGCAGAACATTCCTCCCAGCTGCTGTCAGGAACGTTCATGATGAGGTTAAAGCTTTACAGAGTTACAAAGGTTAGGAGCACTCACTGGTATCCACGAGCTGACAAAGCTGTCCTCCTCAGCGGAGTTTACCTGTAGCTCACGTTACTTTCAGCAACCGTGGATCAAAGATTCTCCTCCAGCATATCCTCAAAATTGACTGTCTCATCATCTCATCTCATTTTGAAAGGATGGCAAAGAATACCTTGTTTATTTTACAGTCTAAATTGCATCAATCTCATTTTGAAAGGATGGCAAAGAATACTTTGTTTATTTTACGTCTAAATTGCATCGAAAACTGAGCTTATGACAGATTTCCCAGAGCAGACTCTCAGAAAGGGAATCTAAATGAAAAATCTAGAAGAGAATTTATTAAAACTGGTGAGGTGAGAATCTAAACATTTTCCAGCAGTGGAAATGTAAACAGAGCGGGGGGGGGAATCCGAAGGTCAGCAAACCTATGGGAGGTTGGCAAAGAGAAACCTTACACTGGCTGCAGACACGACAGGTAGGGAAACACACATCTGCAGTGGACTCGGACTCCACACCAGTGTGTCACCTTTCCTAAGCTCACCCAGGCTGTGAAGCAAACAAAAAAATCAGAGAGAAAGCTGGTGTGAACCCCAAAGCAACACGCAGAACTCCTTTGGAACCGACTGTGGGATATCACGGAACAATCCAGCACTCTGCACGTCCCAGGGAATTCTCAAACACCCGTTAACTTTAATGGTTACAAGAGAGTTCCTCCCACTGCACGCAGCATGTTTTTTCCAGTAGCCGGAGTGCCTTCTTTATCCCTGGTAAAGCCAACGCACAGCTGTGCCGTATGAAGATGGAACCACCCTCACCTGTGGCAAGGTGTCCATCCCTCCTGGGTGAACAAGGACAGTCTGGGGGGTTTGTCACCTAGAGGGAAGCAGGAAGCCTCACCTGCTAAGAGAGATGTCCAGCAATACTCAGTGCTTCACACAGTCCTCGTTTCCTAGCTAGGAAACACCGCTGGCAACAATTAGGGCAGTGTTTCACCCACCTGAAATGCACAGATTTCAGTTTTCCTCATAAAGTACTAATATACTGAACTAGCAACAAGCTGACCAAAGTCCCAGGCAGGCACAGCGAGCCATTATCAATCACATTTTTCACAAAGCATTTAATAATATTCCCAATGTGCCTTAATTATCAATTGTTAGCAGCGTGCTGGTCCTGGCTGCAAGTGAAAACAAAACCTACACCAGACACTAATGCATCAAAAATAGCACGAGCCTTACACCATTCCCCCACTGCGGCGAGTTTTTTGAGCTAAAAGATATTAAAGGAAAAGAGAATTCCACCATTCATACCGTGGAGGCATCAATTCACAACCAACACATGCACACTTCACATCTAAAATAGAACACTGACAGGTAAAACAAGTCAGCTAACCCTCCCCAAAACTTCAGGACTCCTAACACACTCTGCCTCTGTACGTTATTTTTCAGGCAACCCCAAAGATCCTGAGATAAAAGCTGCTGTCTGCTTCTAAGCATCCGACTACAGCGTTTCGGAACACCTGGTGAAGAGCTCAAGTTCCCTGTCCTGGCAGCCAAAAGGCACCTTCAGGAAGTCCGGACTGTCCTCAGGAATTCAAAATTAAATATTATCGATGCTTCCTGAATGAAGATCACAGAAACTAAGTCGCAGCGCTATCAGTGGAAGAGAAAAGAGGAGATCAAACAAAGCAACCAAAGTCAAATTTGTGCTTTAGAAGGATTCACGGAACACCCAGACGTGCTGCCTGGCTTCACAGGCTCCTGATTCGCTTCAGCTCCCTTTGAGCTGCCCAAGCCCCATCCACAACACAACTGCTCCATGTCCCCGCTGCCGGTTCCAGAACCTGCCTCGCACGCCCGCTGCTCAGAGGGGCCACCTCCATCTCGCAGCCTTGGCTCCTCTCCGCAGCGCTTGGCCTCGGGTGAGGTTGGCTGCTCACAGCTCCCATTAGTTTGAACAGTTCCTCTTCGAGTTAAATACTGTAAAACAAATTCTTAAACTCCGTCATTCTGTGATCATGACATCTTTTTTTTTCTCCTCTCAGTGCAAGTCAAGTCACATTTAGTTCAGACCTGAGACAATTAGATTATGAAAAATAAGGTGTTTCCCAAACCTTTTTAGTTAGGAGTTCTGAACTGCGGCACATAGGTTGGTATCCACGTAAAACACCCCCGCAGCTGAACTGAACACACCACAAGCAATCGACCACCTTCCCTTGCTCATTTCTTAATTAATCCACAAGTTATTTGCTTTGTACACTTTTTGGACAAAACTTATTGCAAAGTTTAAAGCAGCAGCATTGCAGTAGCTCGCCTTTGTCCAACAAATACTGAAACTTCTTCACCAAACCCCGTGAAAAGCTGGAAAACGGCA